GCAGCTCGGCGGCCCCAAACCCGCTGCGGCCGGGCTCCCCGCCCGTCTCCCTGCCGAGCACCTGGTCCCGGGGCGGGGATCCTCGCCGCCGGAGCCTTGTCGGGAGCGGCGCTCTGGGAACGAGCAAACCAAAAAAAAAAAAAGGGTCCTGTGGTTACAGTGAGATGTTTTTGTTAATGACTCAACTACTTGCCCTCTGATGACGATTACAGAGTTGGTGGGAAATGTTGGATGAGTTCTCCAGGGCGTTTCTGCCGTTTCGCTGGAGGAAGGCTGACGCTGACCCTCCCCCGTTAAAAACCTGGAGGAGGGAGACATGGATCCCTTGTACGAGGCAGAAGCCTCAAAAAATCGAAGTGCAGTGAATTTATCAAAAAGAAAGTAAAAGTTGAAAATGGAGGTGGTGATCCAGGGAAATGGTTGCCGAAAAGCCCGGTGCCGCTCTAACGCTGGCACAATGGTGGTTGTAATTACCGCAGCGAGCGGCACGCTTAGCAGAAATTAGATTGGGTTTCCTTTGTGGCTTCCCATGAACTTCTGACTGTGTTTTCAGGCCTTTGTAGGAGTATCTCCCCGAGATGGTTATCCTGTCCTGGGAGGGTGAATCACTCTAACACCTGCCTGTCTCTGCTGTAGGTTACACTGCTGATAATGCCTGGAGCCAGAGCAGAGGGCTGCAGGAACGGGGAATACCTCCATGAAGGTCTCTGCTGTGTGTCTTGTCCAGCAGGTAAGGCTTCAGGCTGTTACGGCTGATAGCAGCCCTGTTGTTTTTCCCTGTGGGGATGACTGCGTCACTGTCACTCTTCACGCTACATCCGGTGAAAGCGTGAGCCCGGTTGGAGCTGCCGTGACGTCTTGGTGCTGTTAAGGCTGTGCTCCATTGTGAAGGGAGAGCTCCTTGCGCAATAAGGGATGATGAGGTGCCTTGGCAGCAAGCCAGGAAAGTGGCTGCTCTTGATGAAATGGTTGAAGTCAGGTGGTGGTGGTTTTTTTTAAATGAAAGAAAAAAAAATCCAACCTTTAGTTGGTGCAAAGAACAGCCCCAGAGGAATTCTGATATTCCTGTATCTGTAGGAGAAACTTAGGCTTGTGTTTGCTCTACCATCCTTGCTCAGTGCGTGCAGATGGCTGTGGGGCTCGGTACATGCAGTGCACCTCTTGGTTGTGAGGAGGGGCTGAACTTCACCAAAAATGGTGAGAGCTGGGGAGGCACTGGGACAGGTTGCCCAGAGAAGCTGTGGATGCCCCAGCCCTGGCTGTCCTCTCAAGGCCAGGCTGGATGAGGCTTGGAACAACCTGGTGTAGTGAAGGGTGTCCCTGCCCATGGCAGGGCGGTTGGAGCTGGATGATCTTTACAGTCCCTTCTGACCCAAACCATTCTATGATTCTATGATAAGTGGCTTTGTATTGTAACATCCTGTTAAATGATGCCTTGAGACTGCTGCTGCTGTTTTTCTTTTCCCACAGGTACTTACGTTGCTCAGCACTGCAGTATGCCGCATCAGAGAGGAAGCTGTCTCCCTTGCACCGAAGGAGAGGGCTATACCGCTCATAAGAACGGCTTGGAAGCATGCTTGTCATGCAGACAGTGCAAAGATGGTACCAAGCACAATTTTGATGAAGCCTTAACCCTTCTCCCCTTTTGTAATGTGGAAAGCCTGGTCCTCTGGCTCTTTGCACTTCCAGTCACTGAGAACATTGAACTGGATCCATAAAGGCAATTAATTTATAACTCTTCTGCAGTTGTAGAGAGTCACAACTCTTATATTTACTTTGTAACTTATGTTTTATTTTTAGATCAGATAACTTTGAGACCCTGTACTCTGACGCGTGATACAGAATGCCAGTGCAAACAAGGATATTGCTGCCCTGCTGAGGGCTGTGAAATATGTCAGAGATGCAGTACAATGTAAGTTTGATAATTAATACAAGTGACACTTTTCCTTGTCGGAAAGTGTTAGAGCTGTGGCCTGATCTGTGCCAATACCTAACATATGTTGTCAGGCTGTAAATAATTGCCTTGAAGCCAAATGGTGTTATTCATGCATTTAAATTTTAGGTGTCAAAATACGTGAGGTTGAGACCTAGAAAGATACGGATTTTGGTATTGTTGTGCTTGCTGTTTATGGCTGTAAGCTTACACTACTTGTGTCTTCAGATTAGTACTTCCCCACGTATGTACTTGTATGAGCTTTTGTAGCAGCCAGCTCAAAATTGAGAGGTGAAACCAACTATGCATGAATAATGCATCTACTTTGTGAGTTTTTTTCCCTTGCCACTTAGAGGCTAACACACATGAGCTTTATCTGCTTTGCTTTTACTTAACCTTGTAGTATTATCTTGAGTTGTTTCAAGGTGCACTTTTAACAAAGTTACCTGTTTATGCATGTTCTGTTCATATTTAAGCTCTGCCTGGAAAAAAAAAAATCAGGCCTAGGCAGAGATGCATATTGCTCTGGAAATGTTGATACAACTGTCTGTTGCCATCTGCTTCAGGTGTCCGGAAGGGAAAGACATTGTGCAGAATTGTAATGCTACTATGGACCTAGGATGCAACTTACCCGGTCAAGGTCTGGTACACCAATACCCCTCAGCTTGGTTTGTTGGGTCTGTGGCTTCAGGCTAATAACACCAGGGCAGTCTGTAAAAACAGTGGGTTTGACCCACTGTGGTGTGTTTTAGAGCTTCTGTATTTTGTTCTGGGAGTTACTGACTAGGGACAAGTTCTCCAAGGGGTTGGAGTGTCCAACCATCTTGAACTTCACTCTGGGAAAACCCTGGTGATACATGTAGCTTCTCAGTGTTGTAACAGTAATGCTGTTATGGATAGTGCAGAGATTTCTTTCATTATCTCCCTGGGGCTGAGAAGCTGTGTGGAGCGGCTTTCTTTCCTGCTGGTAGCTAACCTCTGCCAGACTAGGGAGAAGGAACTGACACTCCCAATGCTACAGCACCTAAAGCTCACTGTCACCTACTGCATATTTGTTACCCCCTCTTCTTACATGTCTCCTCAGAAAGCCTTGTGGGAGTTGTATTGCAGCTCTGGACAGAACCCCCACTGCCGCTGGGATAACGATGTGCAGTGCGCATGAGTACTTGCACATTTGGGGCAGCTGACAGCTTGTCCTGGAAAAGGCACTGGGACTAACTGGGGTGCTGTGCTAGTGCTGAGCTTAAGTCGCTCTCTAGGAGAGTGCAGGAGACTTGTGTTTCAGAGTGTCTTCTTTGGGGACTGTTTCAGTAGTGATTTAATTTTTTTTTTCTTCTCAGGAATCACAGATCTTGCTTTGATTATTGGCATTACTTTTGTGGCTGTTGGTGGTTTGTTGCTGTTCCTTGTGATTAGAAAGCTGAAGAGAAGTAAAGGTAACTACTATCCATAAACTTTCCAGAACTAGGCAAAGCATGCACTAAGGCTATCCCCAATTTTTGTGTCCCTTCATAGGTGGCCTGCTTAAGCTCCAGCTCATTTAGTATGTGATTCAATTAAGTAACTCCTATATGATGGAGACTAATTTTTTTTCAGTAAATAAAAAGCATAAACTTTAACTCTGAGCTTTCACCTTTGCTGACAGGTGCCTCTGCTTTAAAGCAAGATTAGTGTAAGGTCCTTAACAGGACTTTGGTTATCTGCTGGCATCCCGTTAGCTAAGTGTGAGGGGGGGAAAACCTGTGCATGAGCTCAGATGTATGGGGCAAGGAGTAGCAACTAATTAGATGATTAACTACTTTCATTCCCTGTGTTTGACTGGAGGTTTTTTCCACATGGTTGCCCTTTCATCATTTGAGCTTTTTAACACAAATGTTAGGTTGTTAAGTCCTGTGTGAATTAAATTTTTTTCTTTAGTGGAAACAGGTGTTTTCCTGAGAAACTTTTCTTTCATTACTGCATATTAAAGTGGGTTTGCAACCAGTTTTGTTAGAACAATGTTGAAAATTATTCTGAGTTTTGAACATTAACTTTATTCAAATCACATTGATTTGTATTGCAGTAAAGACAATGTCTGCCTCCTCTTTTGTATTGCAATAGCCCACAGAATTTCTAAGAAGCATGAGCTGGAGGGTTTGTGTGTGAAAGAGTGGCTTAAAAGCCAAACTGCATCTTGCAGTCTGTATGTTGCTAAGTGAGACCCCTCATTCCCTGTATAAAGGTGCAGTGTTTGTGCTGCTGGTGGAAGCCATGGGTAGTACTCTCCTGAAGTGTATGACAGGTCAAGGAAGATAAATGGCTTGTATTAGAGCTTTGGTTTGTGTTTATAAGTGTGCCCACTGCATATAAATCTTGTGTGAGTTCAACTGTGCTTAAGTTGCTGCAATTCCTAAGCATCTAAAACTTTTTTATCTTGTTTTCCAGCTGCTCCAACTGACAAAGATGCAGAGAAAGGTCTGGTGAGTATATGGTGGATCAAGTGTTGTGCAGCTGAGTTGTAGCTGATACACAGTGCTCAATAGTTTGCCTCGCTGCAGCCCTCTGGTAGGATGTGATCCAACAAGTTGTGATTCATACAGGGTCTGATGTATTTATTAGCTGCATGTGTCCACTGAAGTTGGCCTTTCCAGTACTTCCTTTGGCAGCATTCTAGAGCCTGTGGCCAGGATGTTTTGCAAGTTGGAAAAAATTAGGCTAAGTGCAAATTTTTTTGCTTCAAACTGTCTCCAAGCGATGCCTTGATCCAATTAATTCTTTGATGCTTCAGGCATGTATTCCCCAGGAAACATCAGGGGTCACTTCCCTGAGTGGTGATGTTCTAGCTTTCCTTGCATTTTGACTACAACATTATTTCTTCATAAGACTGACTTCTCCTAATGCAGCAAAGTGACAGTCTTCTGCATATGGGCTCATGTCAAAAGCTGCAGTTAGGCCTGGCAGTCTAACTTCATGGCCCTAGACAGTCCTGTAAGACAAGGGTTTCGGGACTCAGAGCGTACCAGTTCAGCAGTACAGCCCTGCAAAGAGTTTGCCAAGTTAAGACTGGCAGCTGGCATATGTTCCACTTTAAAGCTAGGTTTACCCTCGCCTCCTGTAGTCCAACATTATTTCAGAACATCACTGTGTCAGTCTAAAAAGGTTATTGCTAGTCTAGCATAATGCAAGACTATCTTGTATTTAGCTAGTCTAGCTTTGGCTCTTCTATTTAGAAACTGCACTCCTAACAGCACAGTGAGGCAAAAGTGAGCTCAGCCTTTGCTAGTGTAGCTAATGATGTGTAACACTAAGCTGTAAAACAAATGCTTGTCTTGATGGGGACCTAAGAAAAGCATCCAGATTGCTCCCTGCTACAAGAGCAATGTGCTGTGCATACGCTGCCTTTCTTGTCTCCTACCCAGTGCACTCACCTGATGCATGAAATCTTGTCTAATTTTACTAGTTGGACATTTCAAGTAACTAAATGCATCTTAATTATGTCACACATACTTGAAGATTCAAGAAGCAGAATTGGAAGATCTGTTAAACTATCACCTTATTCTTTTTTTTTAAGGTCCATAAGTGGCTCAAATATGTGAATCACCCAATGGGTTTTGCTGGGTTGTGTCTCCCCCCACACCCTGGCCAGATTTGCAGCACTCCATGTGTTGATAGAAGCTGATGAAGAAACACGATAGCAAACCTGGTTAAAATCCTGTAGCATAAGAATAGGCAAACATACCACTTTATTCAAAATAAATGGATGTTAGTAGAATAATACGGTTGCAAATTGTTGCATGGTGATGCTTAGCTCTGATACAACAGTTGTCACGGACTTGAGTTGCAGTGTCTCTGCACTTGGAGTGTTCACGCTACTCTAACAAACTTATTTGTGAAGGAGTTACATGGATGCGCTCCTGAGACCAGGCATTTTGGCACTGACATACTGTCCTTTCTGAAGTACTGATGTGAAAACCCCAATAAATACTGTTGACGCTTTATTTCACTCCAAAGTAGAGCAGCAGCTATTAGCCATGTGTGTACCTTCAGTTGCTCAGTTACCTATTAAGAACTATTCTGTATAAATAGGATCAACTTGTTTAACCTGTGTGTGCCCTTAAGTACAAAGTGGATTCAGTGAGGATGATGTACAACTACATGTGTGATCATGGGGTGGTTCCCCTCGCATCATTGCTTATGCATGTTGGTCACATGCTGGTGTCACTGACCTTGTGCAAACAGAAAATACACTGGCTTATGCTCATGGGGTAACTGTACTTTAACAAACAAGTCTCACTGGAAGAAGTCACTCCTCACCCTTATTTTCCACCTTAAGAAAAAAAGAACTCCTAAAGCTTTCTAGTTTCAGCACTAGCTGATATGCTAGATCAGTGCTGGTCTGGTTTGCACTTGTGTTCTTGATGAGTTGGTGCTACACTCCCTGTCATATGCTTGTTCAGTGTATTGACAGTGCTAAAAACTATGCAGCCCTCCTCATTTCCTTCCCTCTCTATCCCCTAACAAAAGCTTTTCAATGCACACTGGTGCTCACTGGCTCCTTTCAGCTGATTCTAGTTTGTGCATCTGCTGGAAAAACTAATCCAGCCAGAAAAAAAGCCCAAGCTAGAACACTTATGTGGAGCTGATACGCTATTATCAGCTTGGCAAAAGCTCTGTGAGCATCAGTTGCTACAGTGATAGGGCTGAGGACCCCAGGTGCAGCAAGGCAATTTAATTTCCTCCTGCCTCATGCGGGGTGCATACCTTCTGTACCTAGAGTAGAGGGGAACAAGCAGCAACACATACCAGCAAAGACATTAGGAAAAGTTTCTGGTGCTTGTTGGGGAGATAACCTGTGAGCCTTATCTGCAGTCCACTGGGAGCAGAACAGTCAGTGAGATGGAGAGTTTAGGCTCTGGAAGCAGTTGAAGTCCAAGTCTGTGAAGACTGTAACTTTTCTATTTGTAACTTTGCTAAGTTAGCATCTCTCCTATTATTTTTCTGGCATCTGGTGACTTCAAGTATTCTGCTTTCTTCCTCCAGACTATACTTGAAAACCTACCTGTGAAACATCTCATATGTTCTTACTCTTTACAGAAATCTGAGAGCAGTACTAAAAGCCTCATTTCACCAGAAGTGGAGTCACCTGAAAATAATGCAGCCAGCCCAGGGGGTGAAAATTCTGGTGAAAGTCTAGAGGGCCAAGCACAAACCAAGGTTAACTTGGAAGTGGAAAATAGGTCACCAGAGGAAGAGACTGTTGCGCTTTCTGAGCGGGACACGATCCTGCCTGGGGGCTGCAGGCACCATATGGAAAGGTTCTGGAGGAGGATTGCTGAGTCTTCACTGCCAGCAAAAACCAGGCAGAAGCCTGCTTCTCATCAGAATGCCCTGTCTAACGTACCAAGCGGTAGGATGCCAGCAAATCGTATGGTAAGTGCGTGCATGTGTTTGAAAGTCATCATATTTTCTCTGATACATGTGTCATTCTTTTGCGTTCTTAAATATTCCTTGAGTAATGATTCTGTTTTCAGGCATAAGGATAGGAAAGAGGAGGCTTTGCCTTAAAGCTGTAATAGGAAGTACGGGAATTGATATCCTGGGAAAGCAAACACTCTCTTAATCTGCTCTGCCTCTCATCTCCCTGTTCAATATTTACACAGAAGCTATTCTTTTGCAATAGCAGCAAATATGTTGCCTTGTTGCTCCACTTGGGAGCTAGCAGCATGGCTGTTTCAGCATGTGATTTTCTTTACTCAAGTACTTTCAGCTGTGCTGTGAATTATGCCTCCTGCACCTTTATTGGCATGTGTGCTGTGGAAGCAAGCTATCAAGTAGCTCAGGGAAAATTGTGAGTGAAGCACTGATATGCTGGAGTAACAGTCCAACTTTGTATTACAGGTACGAGAACCAAAGTATCACGTAATTGTTAAAGATCTTTCTCAAAAACGTAAGTATTCCATAAACTGGCAGTACCTGGAATTTGTTGTGGGGTTTTTTTTGTTGTTGTTTGTGGGTGCTTTTTTTTTTGTGGTTTGTTGTTTGTTTTTTTTTCTGTTGACATTACTTAAGGAATAGTGTGCATGAGCTTAAGGGTGGCTAATGAATATTGTTTAGAGCTATAAAGCTTTCAGTTTATTGTAAAATATGCTGAAATGGGATTATTACTACATTTGACAGAGTTGTAATACCTGTGGTGAATTGTTCTATTTTAAAGCACAGGCTTTCTGCACAGGAGCATAGTGCGGTCATGCTTTTACAGTACACACTTTTTTTGTGCGTGTTTTAAACAAGTCTGCGTTGCAGCAGCGTGCTCTGCCCTAATGAATGAGGTGTAGGTCAGAGCAGATCTTTCTGTCAGACATTGGCTCGCATGGAAGACCCCGTTGAATCCCCATATATCTACCTGCACCCAGGAGGTTGATGTGCTGGATGTCCAAGCAACGGGTTTTGCTCATGCTGGTCAGTCTTGGTGTGGTAAACCTATGCCAGTAGCACAGTGAAGTGGTTAAAGCCTACCGTTGAGTAGCCCTGTTAAGCTTAAGTGAAGATGTGCAGGCCAATGAAACCCTCAAAACCACCTTTATTGAAGGGTGTTTAAGAGACTAATTTTGAGATATGTAGGCTGGTACCTTTAGCTTCTTTCAAGATGACTCAGTAGGAAACCTATTTTTCCTGCGGCTTCTTAGGGGTCAAACCTGGCCTTGCTGCTGCTGCTGGGTCTGTGCATGTATCGACTGAAAAGTAATGGGAAAACATGTATGCGGGGGGGGTGGGGGTGGAATCTTTATTTTAGAACGAAAGCTGATGTGTGTTGTGTGTTTTTTCTTTCAGAACTGAGAGATAGTTTTTTGGCCTTTATAAAGGAAGTGCCACCAAAAAAATGGAAGCCACTTATGAGAACTCATCTGCAGGAAAATGATATTATTAAAATTCTTTATGACTTTCCTAATGATAGAGAAGAGCAATCATATCAGATGCTTCTCACCTGGAAAAACACACTGGGAGAGAAACAATCTATTATTAAGTTACTGGATGAGTTAAAGCATATAGATGCCAAGGCTTATGATAATGTATTGAACACTTTAAAAAGTAATAACATTATAAGTAAATTTGAAGCTACAGCTTAATGTTTACGATGAACTTAAAAAATGCTCTTGTGTACATATATGTGTCTACAAACTTCCTGGCAATGAGGACGTCAACAAACTGCTAGTAAAAGTGATGGCACGCACTTGATACCCTTCTCACCTTCACATGGGGAGCTGGAAGTGATTTAACACGGACTCCAGCTGTGATGTTCACTAACGTCTTTTGAGTTGTCGGGTGTTAAACTCAGGCGTCCGATGCCAGCTTGAAAGCAAGAAGCTCCTACTCGCCCTTCCCTTGGTGTGAGGCAGGACAGTGCTGTCTGAGCCCCGGGCAGTGGGAATGAAGAGGCTGATGCTGTTTTTGAATGGACTGCAATGCTTTTGCTTTCTGAAATGATTCGTGTTTTTGTATCGGTATGCTCAGAACTGTTCTGTTTGACGCACAGCAATAAAAGCCCGGTTGAGCCAAAAGCTGGAGTTGACTCAGG